CTGGTCCTGCTCCTCCTCCTCCTCCTCCTCCTCCTCCTCCTCCTCCTCCTCCTCCTCCTCCTCCTCCTCCTCCTGGTCCTCCTCCTCCTCCTCCTCCTCCTCCTCCTCCTGCCTCCTCCTCCTCCTCCTCCAAATCTGCTCCGAAAGCGAAACATGTTGGAGGAGAAAAAGGCAAAACCGCCTGAGACATCCCCACAAAAATCCGCGAAAGGGGCCGAGGAAAATACCACCCTGCCGCCCCCCTTAAGTACTGAAACAAGCGAATCGCCTGAGATATCCTCGCAAACTGCTCCGAAAGCGAAACATGTTGGAAGAGAAAATGGCCAAACCGCCTGAGACATCCCCACAAAAATCCGCCAAAGTGGGCATAAGGAAATTCCCCCCCGCCGCTCCCCTTAGGAGTGCTGAAGCGCCTGAGACATCCTCAACATCAGTGTGTGTGTGTGAGTCATCCGATGAGTGGACCTGAGTGAGTGTAGTGAATGTACGAGTACAAGTACGAGTGAGTCTGAGTGATGAGTGAGTCTGAGTGATGAGTGAGTCTGAGTGATGAGTGAGTCTGAATGATGAGTGATGAGTCTGAGTCATGACTGAGTCCGAGTGATGAGTGGGTCTGAGTGATGAGTGAGTCTGAGTGATGAGTGGGCCTGAGTGATGAGTGAGTCTGAGTGACTGACTGAGTCTGAGTGATGAGGAAGTCTGAGTGATGACTGAGTCTGAGTGGGTCTGAGTGAGAGGAGGTGAGGTGGTGTTCTGTCCTCCCTCTGTTCCTCCGGCGCGGTCCGCCAATAACAAGAACCCCATCTCTTTGGATATGGGGCAAAAGCTTGAGGCATCCCCTCAAAAAACGGCCGCGAACGGGGCGTGCGTGAGCCTCAGCATGAGTAAGTCTGAGTAGGAGTAGGTCTGAGTATGAGTAGGTCTGAGTATGAGTAATTTTGTGTGTGAGTAAGTCTGGATATGAGTAAGTCTGAGTGTGAGTCAGTCTGTGTATGAGTAAGTCTGGGTATGAGGAGGAGAGGGGAGGAGAAGGAGAAGAAGGAGGAGAAGTCGGCGGCGTCCAAGAAATAACAAGAACCCCATCTTATGATATGGGGAATCAATTATTGTTGGCCTCTTCGGGCCCTCCTGGAGGACCTCTTGGAGGCCTCTTGGGCCGTCTTGGAGGCCTCTGGGGGGCCTCTTGGGCCGTCTTGGGCCGTCTTGGACTCTCTTGGCCCTTCTTGGAGGCCGTCTTGGACCATCTTGGGCGGACTTGGAAGCCATCTTGGACCATCTTGGAGGCCATCTTGGGCCAACGTGGCCATCTTGGAGGCCATCTTGAGCTGTCTTGGAGGATTTTGTGGGTAGCTGAGGTGGTTTACGGGCCGAAGCCCCAGGGGGAGTTCTTTTGGAAAAAGAACCAAAAGATAGGGTCTAGCACGCCAGGCACCCCTGTGATGAATCAGAAGACGCCTACGGCGAATCACCGCCGCCCCCTGCCTTTTTGGAAGCGCCTATGTGGCCGAACGTTGAGGCCAGACCTGCCGAGCTATCGGACCATGTGCTCCCCGAATCGGTTTGGAAAGCCTTCGGGGAACACGTGGGCATCTTGAAGGTCATCTTGGCCGTCTGGAGGCCATTTTGACCCTTTCGGGCCTTCTTGGAGGACGTCTTGGAGGGCTCTTGGGCCGTCTTGGAGGCCATCTTGAGCGTGTTGGAGGCCTCTTGGGCCGTCTTGGGGGCCTCTTGGGGCCGTCTTGGAAGCCACTTGGGCCGTCATGGGGCCCTTGTGGGGGCCTCTTGGGCGATCTTTGGGGGCATTTGGGCCGTCTCCGGCCGTCGGAAGGCAGAAAAAAAGCAAATGCCACAATCCTTCAAAAACCCATTGGAAATCAATGATTTGGGCCTTTTCGGGCCTTCCTGGAGGCCTTCTTGGAGCCCTCTTGGGCCGTCTTGGGCCATCTTAGGGCCATGTTCGGCCGTCTTGGTGGGCTCCTGGTCCGTCTGACGCCGTCGGGAGCCGTTTGGGGGGCCTCTCTGGGCCGACTTGGGGCCCTCTTGGAATGCTCTAGGGCCGTCTTGGAGGCCCATCTTGGGCGTCTTAAAGGCCTCCTGTGCCGTCTTGGGGGCCTCTTGGGGCCCTCTTGGGCCGTTCTGGGGCCATCTTGGAGGCCTCTTGGGCGATCTTTCGGCGATCTTCAGGGGTTCTTGGGCCGTCTCGGGCCGTCGGAAGGCCGAAAAGAAGCAAATGTCAAAATCCAGAAAATCAATGTTTGTGGCCTCTTCTGGCCTTCCTGGAGGCCCTCTTGGGGGCGTCTTGCGCCGTCTTGGGCCAGCTTCGAGCCAACTTCGGCCATCTTGGTGGGTTCCTGGCACGTCTGACGCCGTCTGGAGCCGTCTTGGGGGCCTTTCTGGGCCGACTTGGGGCCCTCTTGGGGCGCTTCGGGGCCGTCTTGGAGGCCATCTTGGGCGTCGTGGAGGCCATCTCGGGCGTGTTGGGGGCCTCTTGGGCCATCTTGGGGCCCTCTTGGGGCCGTCTTGGAAGCCACTTGGGCCGTCATGGGGCCCTTGTGGGGGCCTCTTGGGCGATCTTTGGGGCCTCTTGGGCCGTCTTGGGCCGTCGGAAAACCGAAAAGGCGCAAATGCCAAAATCCTTCAAACCTGAGGAAAATCAATGGTTCTGGCCCTTTCGGGCCTTCTGGAGGACTTCTTGGATGGCTCTTGGGCCGTCTTGGAGGCGTCTTGCGGGCCTGACCATCTTGAGGCCATCTTGGGCCGTCTTGGAGGCATCTTGGGGCCATCTTGGCCGTCTTGGACGCCATCTTGGGCCAACTGGAGGAAACAGAGGCACGACGGACGCGTTTTAAGATCCTTTCCGGGTGGCCGACGGGACGGGCCGAAGCCCCAGGGGGGAGTTCTTTTGGAAAAAGAACCAAAACCGAAAGCCATCTAATTCGGCACGCCAGGCACCCCTGTTACAAGCAACAGGGGGCGGCGGACCCTAGTGGCCTTCGGCCCATCCCGCCACCGTGCCTGAGTTGTGGGTCTGAGGCCTCTTGTATTATATGTATTGGGGTGTCGTGGGGGGCCTTCGGGGGTCTGTTGGAGTCGGTTTGGGCGCCTCTTGGGGGCCTTTGGGGGCCTCGTGGGGTATCTGTTGGGCCTCCTGGAAGCCTCATGGGCGCGTCTTGGGCGCCTCTTGGGACCCCTTGGGGCCTCTTGGCGGCCTCTTGGGGCCTTCTGGGGGCCCCTCGGGGCACAAATACAGCACGTTCGGTTCGTGGTCCCCTTCTTGGGCCCCTTGTGGGGCCGTCCTGGGGCCCTCTTGGGCCGTCTCGAGCGTTTCTTGGGAAATATTGGAGCCCTGTTGGGCCGTTTTGGGGCCCTCTTGGAGGCTTCTTGGGCTGTCTTGGGGCGGTTTTGTTTTTGGGTCGTCTTGGGGTGTCGGAAAGCCGAAAATGCGAGAAGGCCAAAATCCTTCAAAAGCAGTTGTAAAATCGACGATGCTGGCCTCTTGGGGCTCTCTCGGGAGGCCTCTTGGAGCGCTTTTGGGGCCTCTTGGGATTCTCTTGGGCCGTCTTGGAACCATCTTCGGCATTCTTGGCTTCGGCAATGCGAATACGGCGTAATTTGTTATGATGTATGGCATCGGGGACGCGAATTTCTTGTAACTTACGGCTTGTTGCCTCGGGGACGCAAGAACTGCACAAATTGCAAGGGCTCATGGCTTCGGGGACGCGAACACTGTGTCATCTACGAGGGATTATGACCTGCGGGGCGCGAATCTCATGTATTTCTACCTGTCCCACGCCCCCCCAGCCTAAGCCTCGCAGACCGATGGCCTCGCAAGAGGGCCGGCGGATATTGCAAAACATGTGCAGCACCATTTATGTTGCACCACAAAGATGGCACAACATAGATCGCACGACAGGTAGCACAACATAGGTTGCAAAACATAGATTGCATCATACATAGTGTACCGCATATATCGCACCATGTAGACTGTACCATATATATATATAATTATATATATATATATATATATATATATATATATATATATATATAATATATATATTATATATATATATATACATGTTGTGTACAACATGTATTGCTAGAAACACACTGTTAGAGGTCCACGTCAGCTAACAGACACTCATTCGTACATCTGTACATACACATGCACAAACTAACGTGCTGTTGTGCTGAAGGAAACCAACGACAGACATACAGGCGGTGGATCATGAACAGTTTGGTGGTCATTGTCTGCGTGGTATGTCGAGGATCGGTATCAACTCTCGAGTAGGCCAGTCTTGTATCCGACTTTCATGTCCATACGCTATTTTTGCTCGTTTGCCAAGCGCTCGAGGAAGTCAGGGATTCATCGGGGGGCGCTGAACCGCGGGATCGTGCCCCCTCGAGGAAGTCGGGGGATTCATTCAGCGGCTCCTTCGATATCGCTAGCAGGTCGGTGCCAACGCTCCTGTCCTCCTCGTCAGAACCATGCCCACCACCACTGGGGCAAGGCAAGGTAGCTCTCCCAACGTACCTCCTCTTGGTGGGGATGGGCGCCGCGGAACCCGACGGAGACGGCACCTATACCCACCTATGGGGGGGGAGGTCGGCCAGCAGGGCCAAGGCTTCCCCAGTCTGGGTGGGGATGGTTCGGGATATGTGTCTCGACTACGCCTTCGGAGGGGAGGACAAGGAGGCAGGGTGGACCCCTCCTCGGGGGCTCAAGGCCGGGCGCCCCCCGCATCAGCGTCGGGCGTCAGCTGGAAAGCCCCCGGCCGTTTGGAGTGTGCGCAGGCCGGGCACTAGGGCGCCCGCCTGCGAGTAGGTGCCCGCGCCAGGCGGCCTGGTCGGGCGCGCGGCCCCGACAGCGCGGGTCTCGTCAAGCCGAGCGGAAGGAAGGAAGGAAGGCAGGAGGCGCAGGAAGGAGGGGCTGGCGGAGGAGGGGCAGCAGCAACAGGAAGAGGGCGACGGGCAAGGCAGAACCCTCTGCCGACCCCAAGGTCTGGTCGCACGAAGCCCATCCTCATCGAGTCGGAGTCCAAGCTCATCGAGCGGCTGCAGGACAGAGTCACCGCCTCCTCCCTCCCTCCTCCTCTTCTCCTCCTCATCCTCCTCCTCCTCCTCAGCCTCATCCTCCTCGTTATCCTCCTCCTCCTCCTCCTCCTCCTCCTCCTCCTCCTCCTCCTCCTCTTCCTCCTCCTCCTCCTCCTCCTCCTCCTTCCGTAGCCATTTTGGCTCAAGATCCCAATGTTGGCGGGCACAGCGCCCGCAGGCTCTGCATGGAAGGTGCTAATCCGTAGCCCGCTCTCGATTTTTCCCCCCTATACCTTTACATATATGCTGCACCGCCTTGTGCTGGAGCTGCTGCCCCGCGCCAATTGGCGGAAGAAGCTGCTCACTCATACGCGCGGCAGATTCGAAGATGCTCGAGACCCCCGAACGTCGTGATCGATCGCCGAGAGGAAGTCAAGGAAAAGGTCAAGATCCCTGGGCTGACGCTGTACAACACAACAAACTCGACGCCTTCAAATCCGAGATCGAGCAGCTCCTCGCCAAGCAGGTCGCCGATGCCACCATCCAGTTCCAGGCCACAGCAGGGAAGGTATGCGCGAAGGCCCAGACTGGTTTCCTCGAGAGTGTCACAGCAGTTACTGCGGCCATTTGCAAACGACAAGATCAAGCCGAAGACGATCTCGCCTCCCTCAAGCAGCGCATGGCTGCCTCCGAGACCGAGCACAAGAATCTCAACGCAGCCGTCGGCAAAATCAAGTCCGCCATATCACAGGCAGAAGCTCAATTACCTACCATGGACATCGGCAACCTCGGTACGTGGGACAGACCTGGGCATATTGACACGTTATGGTGCGGCTCCACGGTGGACATCACGCAGGCTGCCCTCAAAGCCGCTACTGCTGACTGGTTTGCGGCAGCTGGCATCGATGCTTCCATGGTACGCTACAACAGCGCCGCGCCAGCAAAGAGAGTTTCAATCGCAGTACTCGGAAGGGGACGCTGTCGCCATTCCACGCGCTCAAGCTTCACAGCATCACTTTCGCATTGGTCGGGATTGGCGATCGTTCACGCTACAGACCCCCCGGCAACGCGCCCGCCCCGCTCTACGTCAGTGAAGACAAAAGCCCGAAGCTCGTCAGACAGGAAATCCAGCTCAAGAAGCTCGCTAAGATCATCGCGCAGGCCAAACCGTCGCTCCTGCCCAAAGTTGACCGCACCGACGGCTACCTCTCGATCGACAACCAGCCCATCGTACGCACCATCGTCGGCGAGAGGCCAGAGCTGGCCACAAAGGTGCAATGGTCTGACGCTGCTGAGGCCCATGGTCTTACCCCTGCCACGCGGTCCTCCTGCACGGACGCACTCGCGGCTGCTTTCGCAGACGCAGTTACCGCAGCGTCGTGACTTTAGCAACCGATGGACGCCATGGGCCCCTTTCAACTTCTGCTGCCCACCCCGAGTGCTCGGTGGTCAGCTGGAATGCCCAGGCGCCCAACCACGGCAACATCGCCAAGCGGGACATCAAGCGCCCCACCCCCATGCCCTACCTGGCCAAGCACTCCCCCATCGCCCTGCAGGAGCCTCACGGCAACGACATGACGCTGAAGACCACGACCGCCTCCACGGGTGCCAAGTACGACATCTGCCACAGCGCCATTCCCGACAACAACTCCGCAGGCGGCGTTGCGTTCCTCGCCCCGAGAAGCGCGCCCATGTCTGCCCAAGATGACCACAAGCCGCTCCTCAACTTCTCCGAGATCGCACCCGGGCGCATCGTGGAGCTTTGGATCCAAGACCCGCTTCGACAATACATGCACGTCTACTTCAACGCTCATAATCACGATCTCTCCGCTGAGAACCGCCTTTGTTTCAAAACCGCGTGGCATGCGGCTCGCCCGAACACGCGACGGTCTTCCTGCTGGGTGATTTCAACATCTCCGAGCAGCCCGCGCGAAGCCTCCTTCGCCCTGTTGACGCATCTGCTCAAGAACGATCTCAGTACCAGCCATCTTTCTGGAAGCAGCTCTTTCGCCCGATGGTCGAGATACCCACGCCCTCTACAACCCACAAGTGCTTCGCCAACAACACCGAGTCGTGCATCGACCGCTTCTTCACCTCGTTCCAGACCCACAACCTCCCGCATATTGAGAGGATTATGGTGGTTGACGATTCGCCGCTCGAACGTAAACGCGATCCTGTTAGCGGTCATAAGCCACTTCATGTTCGTTTTCGCCCGCGTGCTCAGCGGCCCCCTGCTCAGCGCGGGATTCCCGCGCACCTCTTCAAGTCTTCCTTCTACAAGAAGTTCATCAACAAGCTCATCGACGACACCGACTTCGTCGCCCTCTCCCCCATCGGGAAGCGGCGCGCGCTCAAGACCAGCATGACAAACGCCGCGGCGGACACCCGTGACGCCCTGGCATATATATATATATATATATATATATATATATATAGATCCTGAAGTTCTCGCCACTGAACACTCCGAGATCTCTAAGGAAGTGAACTCGATGACTATGCGCAGCATTGCCCGCGCAGCTTGGTACCATGACGAAAAACTGGCTCAACTCCTGATTTCCAACACCCACCTCGGCGCCAAGCACCTGCAGATGCAGCATAACATGGACGCCGCAGTTCCGACCGTCAAGATCTGCCTCATCAACGACAGCGCCTTCGCCACTGCCGCCGCTCAAGCGCACGCTGCTGTTGCTGAAGAACATCGCGCTCATGCTGCTGCCCGCGTTCGCGAAGCGCACCTTCGGCACCAGCGGCGGCAAGGAGACAGGCGGCGGACGCGAGCGAGCACCACGCGTCGGCGAGGGGAGCTCTGGAAACCCTTCGCCAAGCGCCTGATTCTTGCCAGCGTCCGCATCTCTAAAGAAGATCCTGGCAGCATCACCAAGTCCCCGACCGACACGCAATCCGCGATTATGAAGCATTGGGCCCCGATCTTTGCCAACAAGCCCGCCAACCTTCCCAACATGAACGAGTACCTTGACGCCGTCTTCCCCCAGCGTGACCAGATCGAGCTCCCTGCACCAGGTGCTGACGAGCTACAGGCGGCTGCCAGACTTGTTCACGACTCCGCCCCTGGCCCTGACGGACTTCCATGCGCGGCATGGACTGCTACCCCTGGCAGTTTTATGATACTGGCAGAACTCACCCAGCACACTAGCAGGGGCAACTCCATCCCCCATGACTGGAACCATGCTCTGCTGGCGATGCCCCCCAAAGGTGACGAACCTGCTGGGAATGCAGAATGCTTTCGCGCTCCTGACCAACTTCGCCCGCTCGCCACGAAGAATTCCGACGTAAAGACAGTTGCACTTGCCGCCAACCGCAAGCTCCACCCGATCGTAAAACAGGGCTCCAGCATCCAGCGTGGTTCCGTTCCTGGTCGCCAACTCCTCAACAACATCGCCGAGGTCGATACTTACAGCCGCATCTACAGCATCCACGACCAGGCCGCCATCGACATGCCCTGCTTCCTCAGCATGGACATTGCCGCTGCGTTCCCAAGCTTGCCCCATTGCTGGCTATGGGAAGTTATTCGACGGTGGGGAACCACAGGCAACTTCCTGACGCTCTTACAGGCTTTCTATGCTCTACCCGTCGCCGTTCTGGCGATGGGCGGCGCGCGTCGACCGCTTCTCGTGGCCGAGAGCGGAGTTGCGCAAGGGTGCCCGCTCAGCGGTTCGATATGGGCCCTCGTCTTCGACCCCATCCTACGCGGCATCCAGTCCCACTTCTCAAAGATAGGCAGTGGCATGGCCAGTGCTTGCGCCGATGATATCGGCTGCGTTCTGGGACGCTTGAGAGACATGGCAGGACTCCTCGAGTACACTCAAGCTGCCGCTGCATATGGAGGACTACATCCACAACCTCGCAAGCGCGTGCTGGTCCGTGTATGGACTGACCGTTACTCCGACCACGACGACACCATCCGCGACATCTTCAAGGGGGTCAACGACGACTGGGCCCTCTTCAAGATCGACGGCAAGGCCAAGTACCTCGGTGTCTACATTGGACCATGTGCTGATGAACGCGCCCAATGGTCTGCCCCCGCTGCCAAATGGTTACACCGCTCGCAGATCCTCGGCGACGCCACCTCTGCCATCCAGCAGAACACATCGGCATACAACCCTTCCTCCATCACGTGCCTCACATACGTGGGACAGCTTTTTCCTGCTCCCGAACTCGTGCTCATAAAGGAAATCCACGTGCTGCACAAGATCATCCGCGCTGCCCCGTCGGCCTTCACCAAGCTCGACATCCTCGGGATGAAGAATTGGGCTGGGTGTGCAATACCCACTGGGATTGAAGTGCTACTCGGGGCTACGCTCTGGAGATCGGCTACGTCAACGATACACGCCTGGCCCCAACTTCATGAGCTGCATCGCCATGCTGCCGAAGACAATCCCCCTGTGGTGGACATCGCCCAAGGGAAGTGGAGCGCCAAATGCTGGGCCGCCCCCACCCCGGTCGCTCAGAACCTGGCCGTCGCAGAGAACGGAGCCAACTACCCGATGCTCAAGGGCTCCATCTTCAAGGCCATGGTCCGCAAATTGCAGAACGAACAACAAGTTCACCACTATCTGCGCCGTGCTCATGACCTTGCCCGCGCTGCTGCCCGCAAACCTCGCGATGATGCGGAACCCGCTCACAAGCGCAAGCCGCCGCAATCCATCTACTCGCTCACGCTCCAGCGCCACCTCTACGACGACAACTTCGACCTGACGCTCGCCAAGAGGATCAAGGCCTGGTTCCCGACGGTACCTACTACCCCCCCCCCCCCCCCCCCCCGCAGTCTGCTCCGCAAGATTCAGCAAGTCACCATCGCCATCCGCAGGTACCTCTTCATCTTCCTGTTACTCCCGATGACACGGACAGAGACAGGCGCGGCGCCATCGACGAACTCGAGACGCTCACCGAGACCGTGCACCACTGGGCGTCCGACTGGATTCCGTCGCCTTACGTCGACCCACAGCTTGGTGACGAGGCGGACTGGCGTGCATGGTGCGAGGCGCATGTTCTTCGCGCGCTCCGACGCGACAGCTTTCAGGTCCTGTTCCGAGGGGCTTCTGGTTTGCAGCTTCGCAACCGTGCCAGTCGTATTTGTTCAGACGCATGGGCCTTATCACGGACGAAACGCCGCCAAACGAGCAACGCATTCCGCGGCACGCGCACAGCTGAAATTCAACTACGTTTTTTTTTTGTTGTCTGTTGCCGTTGTCGAACGTCGTGCTCAGCGCAGTCTGATTTCGGACGCCGACTTCCAGAACGACAACTCCGACTACATCCCAGACTTCAACGAGGACATCACCTCTCAATACGCGGACAGCAACGACATGACCATGCTCTTCCAGATCCCGTGTTCCACGCGAATCTCCTGGCGTCGGCTACGACCTCATGTTGCTCAACTACCGCCGTCTCGCTTCTGGCCAGCGATGAAAATCTTGGCGGGCGAATGGGCCACATCACATCGTCTTCATGCACAACCAGTTCGCCGCAGCTGCGTCTTCGGCTGTGACCCCGCGCACAACCCAGACGCGTTCACCCACTACCTGATATGCAAGCGCATGTGGCATCAGTTATCTCTGCCACGGGGTCGCCTACATCAATGTGTTCTCGCCCGGCTGGGGCTTCACGATACCAACTTCGCCGTCGACGGCGACACTGACAACTGCATCGACCATCGCCTACCGCGCGCACCACAACATCCAAGACATGATCTCCCTCGGCACCGCCGTGGACTCCATCAACTACCACGCCCACATCAACATGGCGAAGGCCGCCCGCTTCGCCCTGAGGCTCGGCTCCAGCCCGTTCGGCGGCGCGCCCGCGCGCGGCCGCGCATGAAGCACCACGTCCGCAAGTGGACGTTCGCTCCTCCTCCTCCTCCTCCTCCTCCTCCTCCTCCTCCTCCTCCTCCTCCTCCTCCTCCTCCTCCTCCTCCTCCTCCTCCCCCCTCCTCCTCCTCCCACATGCCCGCGTGATTTACACGGCCAGGTTTTGAGCAGGTGCGTCTTGCGGGTGCCCGAAATCATGCGTGAGGACCCATCGAAGTTCGACGGGAGGAGCTGGGTCCCAGAATGCCACACATGTGGGAAAGGGAAGAGGTCGTCTTGCGCCCGTGCAGCACGAGCTGCTGGCACCCAGGATCCTGAGCGCAAGTTCTGGCGCTAGTTATGACGAGATAGCTCGCCAGGGTAAACGCTCGCGCCAGCAAGCCGAGATTGCAAAGCCATGTCAGGCATTTGGCAGAATCCAAACACGAAAACAGCGGTTGCAGACGCTGCTGGAGCTCTAAATCGCCATCGTTCGCAGGCGACCGCCATTAGGGCACAGCCTAGCCGACCCTGAGGGCACTGCAGAAGTCGGTGCGTGAGTCGAGGATCAAGCCGAGCATGGGCAACTGTTGCTGCCGAGTCTTGTAAGATGCCAACGGAAGAGGTATGAAAAATACCCCGACGACCACAACGGTGCAAATTGCACGAAGACGGTGTCGACATTGTCCTAGCCAAGGCTGGTTCGAGCGGCGGTCGCCCCGCAGCGCACGTGGATGCGCACCCGCAAATTGACATCTGCCGCCGTGCATGCGGCCATGGCCAGGCGTTATACATAGGGGGCAGTTCAGGTGCGTGGTCGGTGAGCACAGCATCAGCAACACGGGGGGAAACAACATCATACTTGAAACCACGCATTGCGTTGCAATGTTTCTCCGCAACCGTTGCTTTGCTCCAACTATTATCCCGCTGCTTTGTTTCAGGCGATGACAGTGGTCGCATGCTTTTGCGGCCGCGATGTGGGAACTGGCTGGAGGCCCGTTGTGATGGCCCGAAGTCGAATGCGGAATCAAGATGTGCGCACGAGAAGCGAGAGCCAGACGAGGGAGGGGAGCCGGCGCACGACAAACAAAAAGTGGAGGAGTGGGCGCCATTGCTTCGGGCGAGGGGGCGGCACGGGCATACCGAGGAATTGAGGGGCGGAGATTCGCGAAGGGCAACGCAGGAGGCGAAACAGATTACGAAGGCCTTACGGCCGTTGCCGCCGACCCTGAATGGAGACGACGACAACGGCGGGGATGGCGGCGACGACGACGACGACGATGCGGACGCGGGCCAGTGTCGCCAGGGATGTTTCTTGGGGTTTCCTCGGAAGGCTCTCGAGGGTCTGTGGGGAGGAATGTTGGGGCCTCTTGGGAGCCTCTTGAGGGCAGAGGCGAAACAGACTTCCATCTGACCGTGGCCAAGAGCATTCAAGATAGCGCTGCGGTCGGAAAAATGACGACGCTGGTGAAGACGGTGGCATCGTATGACATTGAGGATGCTGCGGCCACGGCCAACAAGGAGGACAGCAACCAGAGGGAGGGGGTTATAAGGGGAAGGAGGCGTCGACGGCGGAGGCATAATCGACGGGGGTCACCAGGATGGGGCCGCGAGAGTGGGCAGAAACACAAACATTTGAAGGTCCGCACGAATTTCTTGGATCTGAGCTGGATCCTCTTGTTGACGCCTCCAGCGCCGCCCCGTCCAGCGCCGATCCAGGAAATCCGCACGGTTCGACGATGGTCAATCGCCTCTCCATTTCACTCTGCGGCGCAGCCAGGCTGTCGTGATTTGCAGTGCTTGAGGGTGGAGCTCATAATCTTCGTTGCGTCGTAATGGATGAGGAGGACAAAATAGTGGATGAGGAGAAGAATCCAGGAAATCCGCGGGGACATCCAACAGGTTTCCGATCTGCCTTTCTCATGCCTCCCCCCTGCCTCCCTCCTGCCTCATGCGGCCTGGTCCTGGTCCTCCAAGAGGGCGAGCGTGCCAAATGCGCGCCTGCCTCCCTTGCAGGGACGCTGGCCCTTCCTGGCGACTGCAGATACGTTCGTTTACTCAGCTGGCGTACGCCATCCCGCCAAACCCCCCTAGAGGAGCGAGTGCTTGCGGTGATTTTGGAAGTTATCTAGTGCGTCAGGAGCATCTTGGTCTCGGACCTCAAGTGGGCCAGTGGGCCAAAGGCCCGCCTGCCTCCCCTGCAGAGACGCCGGCCCTTCCCGTCGACTGCCGATGCGATGCGTTCGCTGATTCTCCCTGAGGGCAGGAGCGGGCGCGGGGGCGCTGCCAGAGAAGCCGCCGCCAGCATCGCCCTTGCTCGCAGCGGCGACAGCTGCCGCACTTCTCCCCGCTCGCTCGGGCGCTGAGCTGCACAAGAGCCGGGGAGGAGACCGAGGCTATGGGTGGCGAGCGAGGGGGGGGAAGTGAGAAGGAGAAGGCCTTCTCTCAGAAGGCGGCGGGGTTTCTCAGAAGGCCTCCGACCTTCTGAGAGGTTTTCTGTGCCTTCTGGGAAGGGTTAGAAAGCTTCTCAGGAGGCCGGGGGACTTCCGGGCCTTCTGAGAAGGCCCGCCCATTCTCAGTTCCCCCCCAGGCTCGCCGCCAATGCCAGGCCGCCAAGATGGGGTCGGAGTAAATGGGGTCGGAGGATCGCGCCGCATCGCCGATGCATTGGCGATGCGCCGCGATGCGGGGTCCGATTCTGTCCATGCCGACATCGGCGATGCGTCGCGATCCTCCGACCCCGTCTACTCAGACCCCATCTGGGAGGCCTCTAGACACGAGAGCGGTAGGATCGGAATGGGCACGGAAAGAGTGGGGACGATGGCTGACGGCGGTTTCTGTATATTTTGAAAGGGCTCGTTGTCGGTGCAGCCGCAGGCTTCGTCCATTTAAGTCAGAAGGCCGCCTGCCTGCCCAACAGCGGCCGGTGCCGGTTTGGGATCACATCCTCTGTTGGGCACTCGGACGTCAAAGGGAAAGGTATGGTCCACAGAAATGCGTCGCAGAAGCGTCCGGACAAGACGAGACGAACTCCACAACCAGCCGCTTTCCCTGCATCCCAGCCACCGTCCCCCCGCCCAAAAGTGTTCGCTTTCGCCCTCTCTGGCTGCCCCCCCCTGCCCCGCATTTTACTTTCTCTTTTTTTGCCTCACCCTCCCTCCTGCGCCTACACTCTCCATGCCACCATGGCCACTTGCGATCGCGCCACTGCCTCTCCCAGGCCCTTCAAACAGCGTAGATAAAGCATTCCATTCGTTTATTGTGCCCTTTGCGATGCTTGTCATCACGTCCACGCGATCGCCCTCAGATTAACGAGTTCCTCTTCAGCGCCCAGCAGGCGCGCAACCCGGTGCCCATGCTGGTGGAGAAGGTCCTCCCTCATCCCAAGTGCGATCGGTGCCAACGATCCCCTCCTGTTCATCCTCACCTTCTTGCTCCTCTTCCTCCTTAGCCTCCTCATCCTATTCCTCCTCATCCCCACTGCCATTAGCATTAGCGTCGAATCGCGAGCTCTAGTTTACGCCTTCGGATCTTCTACCGCGGGCATGACAAGGGCAGGGCGGGGCAAGGCAGGACAGGGCATTGCAAAGCAGGCAAGGGCAGGCACGACTCGTGTTCCTCATCTTGTTCCTCCAGCTCCTCCTCGTCCGTCTTGTTCCTCCAGCTCCATACATGCCCAGCTGTGCGATCTCCTCCTCCATCGCTTACGTCAAGAAAAAACTTGGATCCTGCGTTGTTAGAAATGTGCTATGTGCTGTGTGCGTGTGCGTGTGAGTGGCTGCCTTTCCTCTGCTACTGTTCTGTGCCGCTCCAATCCATCTTATCTTATCCAATCCACCTCTTCCAATCCAACCCTTCTTGTGACTGTCTTGATGGTTGTCTGGTGGTTGTGCCGATGATTGTCCTGTGGTTGTCCGACAACACATCGTTTTTCGGCGCCTGCGGCGGGCTTTCTCATTTTGCTTTTGAGGTCGATAGTGAGATTGACAGTGAGATTCACCGATAGGTCGGACGACGGATAGGTAGATAGTGGGATCTCATCGTCATCGCGCTCATCATTGCGGTGGAGGGAGACTCTGATAGAGAGGGAGAGAGAGAGAGAGGGCGAGAGAGAGAGAGACAGAGAGAGAGAGAGACACAGAGAGAAAGAGAGAGAGATGAGATCAAGGTGACAGGCTGGAGGTCAGTCAGGGTGGGCATTTGATCTCAATCCCCCCCAACCTCCTTATCGCCCGCAGGGCGGTCGTATAGGTATATGCACAAAGACGGTGAGTGGAGCGCGGGCGGGCCGGAGCGGCTTGGCGACGGAGGTCTCACACGTCCTGGAGATGTTGCACACCTCGCAGGCGCAGGCGGACCTCTACCTGCAGGACCCGCCGCGGCCCCAAGAGAGTGGACGCGTCTGTTCTTCGCCGTCCTTCTTGGCGCCTGACTTTTCGGAAGGGGGCCAGCCGACACAACGGCGGCCCTCCCTGGCGTTCTTCGTCCTTTCTGGGCCTCCCGGATGCTTCTCGTCGCCACGGCTGGATCCGCGGCGAAAGTCGGGTCAGGATGGACCCCAGGAGTCCAGGGACCGGTTTGGAGCGCATTTGGGTTGGGTAGGAGAGCCGCCGTTGTCTCACCTTGCTTTATTCCGAGAGTTTCTTGTCGGCTTGATGTATCCGCGCCGCCTTTCCTCATCGCCCTCCCTTACGCGCACACTCTGCACCCCAGCCTCGACATCTCTCCGTGCCATGATCACTGAGCTGGGCTGTATCCCTGCAGGACCTCCAGCGCTCCAACAGCATGTTGACAGCCCTGCGCCAGAAGAACATGACGCTCTACGAGAAGGCAGCCCTGCCCGAAGGGCTAACCTCTGCAGCCTGTTCCTCCCCACCCACACCCACCTTCTTGTGCCCCATGTCTACTCCCCCCTTCATACCTTGTTCCGAGCGCGTCCTAGAGGAGACCGATGAAGAGCGCTACGGCGATGTCGACGACGACAACGACGACGACGACGACGAAGAAGACGACGCGGAAAGGCCCGTAAACCGCAGAGAGCGTAGTTGGAAGCGGAGCTAGAGCAAAGTTTGGGTATTTCTTCGGTTTCGCAGACCATGAGTTGTTGGATTGACGCGGTCCAATTCCGAGCTGCATAGTTCCACACGAGTTTGTTTCGCACAAGCCATGGCTTGGTCTTTGATCTGTCCACTTGACACCGCCGCTTTCACATGACGGGTCGTGCACAGACCATGAAAGGGGCTACAGCATCGTTAGCTTTCGACGTTGTGTCACTACGATTCCGCTCAGGCGCCCCAATGCCGTGCATACCTCGCAATATTGTATCCCCATCTCTTCAGAATTGCAGCAGCAGCGGTATAAGATATGAGAACGGAAGCATGCGAACGAAGCATAGTAGTCGCTGGTATGAGTTCGACCAGGACGGGCGGGTACCACGACGGAGGAGAGTGGCTGAAATCGTGTCGTACGGGTTGTCAGGACCCTGGGTGAAGTTTGCCTTGCCACGTTGAAACACGTTGGGGGAGAGAGCAATTGTGACGCGGACTGAAACAATCAAGGTGCAGCTCTGCGAGACATGGAAGATGCGGGCGCTCTTGAAGGAGCTGACGGGCCAGCATTGCCGCATTCATCATGGTGTAAGATCGTTCTTGGATGTGTACCCATGCGGCGTTCCAAAAAGGGCCCTGCCTTTGATTACCGCAGGAGTTGTCATCTGTTCCTCGGCGACAAGCGGCGGAAGGGCGCCAAAAGGTCGGCGGAAGAAAAACGAGGCCGCCTCCGCCGGCGGAACCCGGCGGAAGGGCGGCGGAAGGTGGCGGAAGCAAAAATGCGTCCCAAAAGAGGTGACAACATTTTTGGGTTCAGGGCTTCCGTAATCCGCTCACACGGGCACGGGGTCATGAAGGGCATACGTCCATTCATTCGCGCGCGTGGGCGTCCATGTCTGCGTGTGCGCGCGCGTGTGTGTACGAGTGCGCCTCGGCTGCCCGCGGCGCATAACACGTGCGCTCTCCCGTGGGTCGTGCGGCATCCACGGTACCGCGTGCGCGCGTGCGTGCTGTGCGCACCGAGCTTCTCGTGCTTCTGTCCACGCGTGCCTTTGGCTTTCCTCCGGCGGCGAGACCTGGGGGAAGTGAGAGGGGGCCTCCTCAGAAGGCTCGGAAGTCTCCCGGCCTTCCGAGAAGGCGCGAGGGCTTCCGAGAAGTCCCGCTGCCTTTGAGAAGGCCTTCTCCTTCTCACTTCCCCTCCTCGCTTGCCGCCGACTTTTACTTTCCTGTATTTTGTCATTGAGTTTGTGGTGCGCGTTTGGCTCTGCCCCTGTGCTTGCTTACGGTGCCACTGTTGGCACTGATATCGTGCGCCCGTGTATGTTCATCCGCCTATGCCCGCTCCAATCGTTATCTGTTCCCCCAGAGTTCACATGCTGCAGCACCCGAAGAGCTCGCGTAGATTCCCTTGCCCTTGTCGGACAGTTTTCGCATCCGTCCTCTCGTCGGCGCATCCGTTGTAGGACCTGCGCTGTTCAGCGGCACAGTCATAACTTCCCGTCGTTACCTGTGTCGCCCTCGCTCGCCCGGCCTGCGGGTGCTCCAGCGCTGTCACGTCCGCGAGCATTTGCCGAGGGTCTCTTCACCCCTTGACCCACGAGTCCCCTAAGGGGGCGGAGGAGAGGGGCCCACCCGAGTGCCCTCAAGTGACTGGCGGGGGATGGTTGAGGAGCAGCGGCAGAGGCAGGAGATAGTGGCGTGATTGGGGAGGAGGAGAGCCACCGCACTACTCCAAGCCTTCAGGCTGCGGGCCTCGCCTCGGAAGCTCGACCTCCCCGCTGCGGCCTGCGCGTGGATCCCGAGCAGTGAGACGGGAGAAAGTTTGGGAGCACAGCCCGACGATAGAAAATTGACGCGGTTGGGGACTATATCTCTATATGTTCCTTAGCTTGCGGGATAATCCATCTAAGTTCGGCGGGAGCGCCGTGGTTCGCACAGTCATCAGGTGTATTGTAATTCTGCTGATTCTGTGTCCGTAGTCCGACTTGTTTTTGCTCAAGCTGTTTTCTTGTCAGTCTATGGGCCTCCCAAGTTCTTTCCATGTGGCCGTCGCCACGCTGTGTTGGTTCATGTGGGGATCAGAAACACCGACTCGGCTGCGCGCCATGCAGCACGTTCAAGTGGATGTGGAGGATAACGACACTGGTGTTGGTGGCCGCTTGTGTGACACTCTTCCGCGCCTCTCAGGAAACGGATCGGTCAGGCAGACGTACATCGAGGGCCACACACACGGCCGTCTCCCATCCGAGCTCCTCTCGCGGATCAACCTCTTCTGCGCCCCGCGGAATGCCGGTTGTACCTCATTGGCCGTCGGTGCTTGGTGCTGCGCGGACGCATGTCGGAGGATCGGCTCCGCTGATGGGGCGGCCCGTGATGCCTCCGCCAAGTCCGAGGCTAGCTCCTCCTACGGGGCCCCCATTGCAGTTGCGCCTGGACGGCTGGCCGCAGCCGACAAGTGCGGTGTGGGGCAGTTGGCGTCGCCTGGTGATCGAGGTTGGGGGGGAGGCATTCGTACACGAACGTTTGGTGACCAGGGCCGATCCGAACGACCGCTCGGCCTGGACTGCGACGCCTGATCAGGATGGGCATGAGGAGGACTACCGTCATGATCCCGACATCGTCGGGTTCACCTTCCTGGATGATGCATGCGACGACATGAAGATCTCGGGCGTGGTGGTGATCGCACCTACGGACCCGCTCGTGAGCGTGGAGGCGGTGTCAGCCTGCACACTGCCGTCGGAGATCCCCGTGGCTGTCTTCTTGGAGTGGGCGTCGATGCCGAAGTTTCCCAGCTTCAGGGATGACAGGTTCGATCTCTACGCGTCGGAGGTGAGATACCGTCGCATTATGAAGTCTCGTTTCGAGCATGGCGCCTGCAGTCGTACCTTCAATGCTGGTGTGTTGAGGTTGTTCGAGGAGCCTGAGGTCGATGGCCACACGAAGGGTCCCCGCATTCCGCTTGGCACCGCACAGACTCCGAGGTCTCAAGGGCCGATCTGTCAGACACAGGCTCGAGAGTGTCCCGTGGCGACTCGCATTCGTCCTGAGAAGAGGTCGGTGCACGAGTACAAGCTGGTCCGCGAGGTTCTGAAGGCGTGGCAGCACATCGATCGGTGTAACCTGCCGAACACAATAGGGGCCGATCTGCTGGTGGGGCGCAGGAGCCTGCTGGAGGAAGCGCGCGCCTCGTTCCCCAGCAACTCGGGCTACAGCGCAACCAACATCATGATGGGCTGGGCCGTGGCACTCTTGAGCGTCACCGCTAGCAGGCTGAAGGACAAGGCGGCGGTCTTGAAGGGAGAGGGGAAGGCATTCGACGAGTCCAGGCTCGGGGGAAAAGGTCAGCCCCCGAAGGACAAGGACAAGGGCGTCAAGGACTAGGGGGTCGAGATCGACCCCTTCGGCACCCTCGCAGGTGCCCTCGCCGAGCGTCGTCTGCTGACGATGTTCGACAACCGCTCGGCTCCTCGCGAGCTGCTACCTCTCCCTATACCCCCTTCATGGTCTTCGCCATCCTGGCCGAGGCATCGCTGCGGGAGGCTGCAGCAGCGCTTCGACCGCAAGAAGGCAGTTTTGAGCCGCGCCGTCGACTCCGTCAAGGCGCTGAATTGGGTGCATGGTGGGCGCCAGCCTCCAAGTTTTTCGAGCCCTACCCTGTCGCAGGCTACGGCTCTTCAACACCTTCTGGATGTTCATCGGACGGACGTCCCGGAGATCGTTAATGCCGAGGCAGCCCGTGTGGAGTTGCTCGGCTCAGGACGGGACTACGCTGGTGGTCCTGAGCTTCCCATCGCGAGTTACGACAAGGATCTGCTCTCCATGCCCCAGCTCGGGGCGGAGCCCGTCGACCTGTCCACGGTACTGGAGGGTAGGGCCAGAGAATGTCTCGTTAACTTTGAAGAGGAGATCTTGCACGGTCCCGATGATTGGGGTCATATTACTGAGTGTGAGGAGCATGTCAAGCCGTACATGGATCCAGTGCTTAAGACCGACGCCGACGCTTACTTCGACTTCGTGATGAGGGGTCACAAGTCTGGTTTGTTTCGCTTCGGCCGCACGTCCCACGTCATCGCTACACCTTTCTTTGCGAGGAAGAAGGCCGGCACTTTGAGATTGATCCTTGACTGCCGCCCCAGTAATCGCAGGATGCGTGAGAGCCCCTACGTTCGGCTTGGAGGGCCGGCTGATGTGGCTCGGCTCCTGCACTCGCGTGGTGACGGGGACCCGTACGTGGCCCTCGGTGACGTGAAGGATTACTTTCATTGCTGCGGGCTTCCACCAGGCCTTAGTCCATATTTTTCCTTGCCGCCCGTGTCAGGTCTGCGACTTCTTCAGGCTGGTACTCACAATGTAGAGGGTGTTCCCGTTCTTCCAGGTGATAGAATCTTTCCTCAGTCCAGGGTCGTTCCCATGGGGTGGTCTTGGGCTTGCTACTTTGCGCAGTCGGCTACAACGTCCCTGGGGCATCGTTTCTCGGGCTCCGAGGGCGACAGCTTCCTGAAATCCTGCAAGCCGCCTCCTGGTCTCGATCGGCCCGCTTACAACGTCTACATAGACAACATTAGCATCTTTGGCCAAGGTAAGTCACAGACCGATAGGATCGCCAACCAGGTTTTCGACGGAGTCGAGAGTGTCGGCTTTCGGGTTCACGAGCGCGCGTCTGCCAGCAAGTGGGCTCATACGCTCGGCCTAGAGATCGACTTCTTGCATAGCACGGTCCAAGGAAAAAGGCAGAAGAGGTGGAAGTTGAAGGCTGTCCTGGATTGGTTGGCTGGTGCTCCGTATGTGTCGGGTCAGGAGATCGAGAGACTTCTGGGCCATACCACCTTCCACTTCGGACCTAATCGGCTGTTCTTGTCCATCTTTAACAACGCCTATGACTTCATTCGTTCGTGCTACACTTCTCGAGTGCGTCTCTGGCCCTCGGTGGCAAGGGAGTGCTGGGCCGCTGGGTGTCTTATCTCGTTCGCGTTCGCAGACCTGGGAAGGGACTTCGACCCGTTCGTGAGCTGTTTCGACGCTAGCATGCGTGGGGCAGGGATCGTCACGGCGCCTTGGGACTCGGCACAGGTTCGTTCAGAATGCGAGTGGGAGGAGAGGTGGTGGTTCAAGTGGGATGTGTACGATCGGGTTGCGCCCAGGGACAACAATTTCTTATCGCTGGACTGGGGGGACATCGAAAGCGTCAAGCCTTGTCGTGACAGGTCGTCGCTCTGGCCCCTGGACAATTCGTTCAGAGAGGTCCCGAAGGAGAACCTTGTGGGCCCCACCTGGACCAAGGTCGTTCGGAGTTTTTGGAAGGACGAGGAGCCGATATTCTGTCTTGAGGCCCGTGCGGGCCTGCTGGCGGTGCGTCATAAGCTACGGGCAGTCTCAAGTTTCGGTAAGACTCATCTGCACCTCGGGGACTCCATGACCGCTATCCTGGCTTTCGAGAAGGGGAGGGCCAAACATCGAGGTCTGCTGGGTGCCTGTCGTCGTCTTTTGGCTCTGAGCGTGGCTTCCAACACCAGACACCACTTCAGGTGGGTGCCTTCAGAGCTGAACCCGAGTGACCCTGATTCACGCTACTTTGAGCTTCCAGTTGACAGCGACGGCCGACGCTTGCTTCGCCGCTCCACGTCTCGTGCCTGGACGGCGCAGGCAGACGGCAAGGGGAGCTGGCGGGTCGTCGATCCTGGCGGTGGTGCTCTCGCCGCCGGCGGACCCTCTGGACACGGTGGTGGCCGAGAAGACACGTCGGCCAGCTCGACACCTGGTGCTCAGGAGGGACTACTGTCGGCGGCCCGACAGGTTTTGGGAGTTCGGGCGAAGCCGAGGTCTCTCCTTGGCCAACCCGAAAGTCTGCGACGACGCGCTGTGCGGCTTTGCCGACCTGCTGTTCCTGGACGGCGAGCAGATCGACGCGGGGACCAAGTTCCGGGCCGCGCTGGAGGACCACGACGTGCTGCGGTTCGGCAAGACCAGCCTTCCTCGGTTTCGGCGGGTTCTTCAAGCTTGGCATCGGAAGGGGCCTGTGGACAGCAGGGACCCTCTACCGTTCCGCCTTCTGGCGGGCATTCTGGGCTCCCTGTCGCTCCATGGCTTCCACGAGGAGGTGCTGGCGCTGACCCTCATGTTCATCTGCCCCCTGCGCCTGTCCGAGCTCGTGACGGTGGCCGAGGGCGACCCTTTCGAGTCTGTGGCCAACGCAGGCGTGGCCCTCGCGTGTTGGAGTCTACTCCTGCGGCCTTTCGGGAGGGAGGAGCCGACCAAGGTCGGCCATCTCGACGACACGCTCCCGCTCGGCAGCCCCGACTTCCCCGGCTTGGGGGCCCTCCTTGCTGGATTGCGCAGACGGGTCGTGGAGGTCTGGCTCTTCAGTTTCGGCCAGATGCAGCTGGTGGGCCGCTTTCAGGCGCCTTTCCGCATGGCGGGCCTGGGCTCGCTGAACATCGAGATGCATCAGCTCCGCCACGGAGGGGCGTCGAGGGGCTTCCTGATGTCGGCGAGGGAGATCCAGGCGGTCAAGCAGCGGGAGCGCTGGACGGACGATCGCTCTTTGCTTCGCTACATGAAGGCGGGCAGAGGGCAACTGCTTCACAAGGTTATGACGCCCGTGTCCAACCGCTGGTGCCAGGAGGCGGAGGCCAACCTTTCGCTCGCCCTTCGCGGCGGATGGCAGCCTGCCCTTCGGCCGCCAAGAGCCTGCCTCTGTCTCTCACAAGCGGGTTTGTGATCGAGGTCTTCTCAGGCAGCGGTAGGCTGGCCAAGTCCTTCGCGGAGCTGGGCATCCCGGCGCTGTCCTGGGACATCGAGCACGGCCCAGCTGGCGACTTGCTGGACGAGGACGTTCTGCGCTGCGTGCTGTCGTACATCGCCTCTGGTAGGTGTCTTTTCCTCTGGTTGGGCACGCCGTGCACGTCTTTTTCTCGTGCCCGAAAAAACGATGGTCGCGGCCCTGGGCCTCTTCGGGACCCCTGGCACCTGGACGGCCGCCCCGAACTTTCTGCCCCCGACCTTGCCAAGGTCGAGAACGGGAACCGTCTTTTAGAGGCCTCGTTAACGCTAATGCGATGTGCTGCAGCTCACAACGTCCCCGCGGTGTTGGAAAACCCCAACACGAGTTTGTTATGGGACATGCCTCAGATGCTAGAATTTCAATCATCTCATGACACTAAGTTCACGGTGCTTCATTTCTGTCAATATGGAGAGCTTTGGGTTAAGCCCACCCGTTTGCTCCTCCTGTCTTGCTCTCACCTTTCGGCCGTTGGAAAAACTTGCACTGGCCGCGGTGTGTGTTCCAGGACTGGAAAGCCCCACGTCGAGCTTCGGGGCAAGGACCCAACTGGAACCTTCTGGACCCTCCGCGCTCAGCCGTATCCTCGCCAGCTCACTCGTGCCGTTGCTTCACTGATGATGTCTCACCTCATCCGTGCCGGAGGCTCCTCCTCTTAGGCCTTCGGCCAGAACGCTACTCTGGTGCGGGTGTGGGTGCTCTTTTGTGGCTCTTGGGGGTTGGTTGCCCCCTGCTGCCCTTGCCTGGCGGCGTCGGCGGGATGACTTCGGGTCCCCGTCCACGCCCGCTGGGCCAGGGTAGCAGTCGGGCTACCAGCCTCCTGCCACGGCAAGATCTGTGCCTCTGGCGGTGAATAGTTTTACAGTCTTCGAGCCTCGGTGAGATGCTCTCTCTGGCGCGTGAGCTGAACGGGAATATGGATGTTCCTTAGCTTGCGGGATAATCCATCTAAGTTCGGCGGGAGCGCCGTGGTTCGCACAGTCATCAGGTGTATTGTAACTCTGCTGATTCTGTGTCCGTAGTCCGACTTGTTTTTGCTCCCCTCCCACTCCACCCTTTCTTGGGGTGCTCTTTTGTGGCTCTTGGTGGTTGGTTGCCCCCTGCTGCCCTTGCCTGGTGGCGTCGGCGGGATGACTTCGGGTCCCCGTCCACGCCCGCTGGGCCAGGGTAGCAGTCGGGCTACCAGCCTCCTGCCACGGCAAGATCTGTGCCTCTGGCGGTGAATAGTTTTACAGTCTTCGAGCCTCGGTGAGATGCTCTCTCTGGCGCGTGAGCTGAACGGGAATATGGATATATATAATATATATATATATATATATATATATATAGATAGATAGATAGATAGATAGCCAAAAATTGGAAGGTGTCATCGCATAGAGCGCACCGCTCAGGTTGCACCGTCCATATTACATCACAAAGATTTCACATACAGCTTGTTTCTCATAAGAGGAATCTCTCCCGCGGACTCATCGATACCCCCTGGGACACTGCAAATTTCATATGATTATGCCTCGTCTTTCATTTCCCATGAGAAATTGTACCGTCCCAGCCACATCGGGCATCGTCCCCCCCTCTCCCTGTCAAATAACGCTATGCGCGCACACTCGCTGATCGCAAAAGATAACTGTACACGAGATCCTTGCAATAAATGCACAATGCCCACACGCGCGCGCGCACATGTTGCAATCATACTACGCATACCAGTGCTGCAAGGACTGCAGCATAAAAGCATCAATGAAACACATAGGTTGTGCATCACACGTCGTGCACATCTTGCCCGCGCGCATGTGCTGAAATTGTAGGAAAACCATCCGATTTCAGTAACCTTGCCCAGAACCCGCATTCTCATTTCACCGCGCCGTGCACCCGCATTGTTCCAGCATGCGCACAGAGAACGAACCAGTATCAAGCTATACCATGAGGGCCACGCGCACGCCGCCACCAGCGTGCCCCAACCATTGATGTTCGAAGCATTTCCAGCGCAGCCCTTTAGCACGCGCTGGGACGCTGCCATCGGTAAGCGCCATCGCGGTCGCACCGGTTGTGCCAAACCAGTTGGCCGCTCAGCGCGCGAGCTTGCCCGCGCCAGCGCGGCCGCAGAGATGCGCCAGCCATGGCCAAGCAGTCATCGAAATCGCAGCCGCTTGCATTTTGCAAGCCAAGTTGCGGGTGGGAGGGTGGGATGGTTGCGCGAGCAGCGGAATGACAGCTCGCGGGTTGGCAAAATGAAGTACGCCACGTGGGTTGCATCCCATAGGTTTAACCGCAGAGAGCACATCGAGAGTGCAAGGGCCCACTGTTGGGAGTCCACGCTGGCAAATATGTTCTACGATATCGGGCGCACGGGAGCAGCAGTCGAAGTTGCAGAGGGCAGGGTTGTTGCAAGACAGGCGTCACTTTTTGAATGTTCCCTTCGCTGTGGCTATGTGCGTGACGCATCGTCCCCCTGCTGAAGGACAGAACACGAGGAGAATGATAAAATAGAGAGGATGAGGGAGGAGGAGAGGTGGAGGAGGAGGAAGGCGGGTAGAGGCGGAAAGGAAAGGGCAGGTTGGCAGGCTGGTGCGGGAGAGTGCGAGGGCGAGCATGGGACCTTCCCAGATCGCGTCGAACGAGTTCGAGGTCAGGCAAAACGTCAAGGGCGTCAAGAGGCGAGCATATCCTCACTTCCTCCACTCCTCCGTGAGCTCTCACCAGTTCCTCCTCGTCATCCCCCACTAGTCCTCATGTCGCCCTTCACGGCCAGTCCAACCTAGCCGAGGGCACGGAGCGGCGTTCAAGAGAGGCGAGCCCATCTTGCCGTTCCTTTTCGCCTCCTACGCGGCGCGATCAGCAAGAGCCGCCGCTGAAGGAGAAACGAAAGCCACGAGGATGAGCTGCTGAAGCAAGGGCCCCCCTGCATCAACCCCTCTGTTCTGGGCGCGATTGGCATGTTTGTTGTTTCCGTGGCCCAAGGGCATCCCTGTTTAAGAGATTCTTTCTTTTTTTTTCAAGTTCAACAAATACGTCGCCCCCCGAGGGTCCCACACCTTCCCGGAACATCTGCGGAACGCTCCCGGTACCGCGCGTTCTGGCCCCAGGGAACCCCCAAAACGCCGACGGACAGCCCAAGACGATCCCAAGAAGCTTCGAGAACGTAAAAGAACGGCCCAAGACGCTCTCAAGCAACCCAAGGTAGCTTTAGGTCGGCTCTCCAGGCTCCCAGAAAGCTTCCAAGAGACCTCAAAGACCGAGGAATTTGAAAAAAAAGAACTCCAGAGATTTCATTTTTTGTTCAAGTTGGGACTCCTACTCCCTATCCTCTTCCGCGAGCCCCATCAAGACTTCGGGGTCACATGCAAGGATTTGTCGGGAATACTGTTGAACTCTCTAGCGCTGTCTTGGCATTCTCTTGGATCGTCTTCGTGTCCTCTTGGCTGCCCCTGAAACCACCGTAGAAATCGAGGTCCCATGTTCCCATGAGTCGAAAAAACGGAACTTCAATTTGTTGTTCAAATTCACCCCATGCTTATTTTTGCACGAAGACCACGAGAGGCATCCCAACAGACCGTGGCCTGCATCCAGAAAATTTCTAACCCACAGCCCAGGCATGGCAACTTGAAAAAAAGGGAATCCCATAATTCGTTGTTTTTTCAAGTTTGCCCTCCCTGTCTACTCTTGTTTCCGCAGTTCCCTTTCTATACGATTCTGAGGCTTGTGCAGTGCCTCCAAGAGAGTCCTTGGATGCAAGAAACGACCAACATAGAATTCCATGAGTTAGCCCATCAAGCCTAGCTAGACCTTGAGCGCGCGCGAAGCGCGCGCAATGGTTCTTGTACATATACGTATATATGTATACATATATATGTGTGTATTGGCCGAGTTGCGCTGTTTCTCCAGCGGAGGCGTGAGAGATCCTGAATTTCGGGCGAGGGGCTTCGATCCCTTCCGACGGGTCCCTTGGGGCCTTGTGCGACAAATGCGCATGAAGCGAACTCTTGGCATCTGAGATCCCCGAGGCAGCCAGACTCGCTTAGAGAAAGGTTCCTCGGGAAGCTGCTCTCACGTGAACGAGTGTGTTGCTTGCAAGGACGGCCTTGCCATTCAGCACGCCCTCCTGCGAGGGATGCTGAGCCCAACCACAAGCTCTACCTGGATGGCCTGCAGTACACCAACAAGGAGTTGGAGGAGCTGAAGAAGGCTGGGCCGGAACCGGCCATGAGCGACGGGCGGGCGGGGGTGCGCGGTTTCTCAGGGCAGCGCCAGATGTGGCGTTGTCTGTGCTGAAGAGGCCGCGCTTGCGCGGGACGTCGAAGGTCGGGCCCGATCCACAGCTTTGGGAAGTCAGATACGGCAGATTAACGTCGTGCCCACGCGGCAGCAACCCCAGCGCTGGCGTTCGAGATTGAAAGCCGACAGGGGCTCAGAATCGGCCAACATGGAACGAGGCGCTGCTCCGCAAAGCGCCGATCGTTCCAGGTTGACTGACACAGGCGGCGTCAAACCAATGCCGAGGTCGTCATGACTCGAGCTTGCCGCAAGAAGTGTGGCCCAAATCAAGCCTGCGCTGTCGGCCGGAAGAGCACGATCTTCGGCCCCGCAGCCTCGAGGTTTAGGCTCCTTGCGCCGCCCCTCGCGGGAAGGGCGCCTGCCACATCTGCAGGGAGGTCCGCGGCCCACCCCCTTGGGAGGCAGCAAACAACTTTTGGGGTTCGGGTTTTCTGGAAACCGCCAAATGACCGGACGGGAGGAGGAAGAGGAGAAGTATGAGCAGACATACATAGCAAGTGAAACAGTATGAGCGCGAGGATTCGTCGAAGACAAGCAAAATAGAAGAATTAAGCAAGAGAACGCAAACAAACGGAAAATGAACTCGTCGCCGGATTGGCGAATATCAGTTAGACTCGGACGAGTCTCGTTGTTGAGGTCCGTTCTGTCCCTCCTCCTCGCTCCTCTGCTTTCTCATTCGCACATGACTCCAGTGTTTCCGCGTCGATGGCTCGGGTTGGTGATGAGGGAGGGAGAGAGACAGGAGAAAGAGAGAGAGAGAGAGCGTGACAGCGATAAAGAAAGGGAGAGCACAGACAACAACGAGAGGGCAAACGGTTTTTCAACAACGAAAAAACGTTCACCTATCATGCCTCATCCTCTCCTTCCTCCTTCTCCTCTCCCTCTGGTCCTCCTCGGAAACTCCCTCGGAGCCACGAGCGGCACATTGCTAATGGGATCTGGCCCCACGGCGGCCTCGGGCAGCAACAGCATTAACGCTGTCATCGCAGACCGCTTCAGGTCCGCATCGGGGTGGAATGCGAAGGGCCGGCCCCACTTCGACCGCATTGCAAGACCCTCGCCGACGATCAACAGGGTCTTGTACGTCGATCAATGGGCACGCCTTCTCAAGATGTTTGGCAGTGTGCTCAGGGAGCGCGCCCCCGACGCCCGCGCTCTTTCCTGCTCCTCCTCCTCCTCCTGCTCCTCCTCCTCCTCGTCATCTTCCTCCTCCTCCTCGTCCCCACCCTTTGGCTATCCGATCCTCTAAGCAAGCCCACCTCCATGGGCACGTGCTGATCTGGACCTGCGAATGTCTCTTTCTCTCTCTCTCTCTCTCTCTCTCTCTTTCCGCCT